GAAGGATTTCCAATCAAAGCTGACCGATTGTCTACATGCCTTTCTCTCCTCTCCCTTTAAAGTCCTCACAAAATGGTAGTAATGACATTTGTGAAATTCATAAAAATTTTCAATGGGATAGTGCTGTCAATAAACTTCTGGATGATAGATAAGACAGAAAATGGTAACTGACAAAGCCTAGCACAGGAAGCTGAAAGGCAGTTGCACATGATCATTAGGAGGAGGTACAGTTTTCATGAAGAGGTTTGCCCTGTGCAACCTTGGAGAAGTGGGAGCTATGGAAGCCCAGTAATGATAAAGAATGAGAGGCAAAGGAAGGCCAAAAATATATGCATTAACTGAAAGGATTCACCAAAAGTTTATATAGAAGAATCCATACTGCCTTCTATCCCCCTTGATGCACACACTATATTCCACAGGGACATAGTCCATTGACAGGTAAAATTTGAGGACTTTTTCTCAAAATGTTTAAAAAATCCCTGAGAAAATTGTCTTGATTATGTTGTTTCCATATATTTCAGCATGACCCCGGCTTCCCCACCTAACGACTCAAAAGCTAAGCCCACATTTTGACAAGCCTTGCTCACATATATAAACCCCGCCAAGAAGCATTACATTTTTAAGTATGACTAGATAACCAGATTTGCCAGACATTTGATTAAACTCTCCCAATACAAGAGTCAGTCCAAGATAAATAAAGAGAAAAACGTGATTATCAAAAATAAAGAGACAACTCAGGGCACAGGTGAGATTTTAGCCTCGAAAAAGGTAGAGAAGACATATTTATATGCCAAAAGAAGATATAATTAAAGTGAGCATGACCTATGCATTGAACAATTTTACTTAGTCACAATAATAAGACCACATTATTGATTTTCAACTTTTAGGATCAATCTATACATCGATCACAAAAAACCCACAATGCAAATGCTATCAACTTAACAATGCAAAAACAAAAGTGCAGAGAATAGTTCAGTGGTTCCTCAACAAGTTAAATATAGAATTAACATATGACCCAGCAATCTTAGGTATACGCCCAAAAGAATTTATTTATTTTTTTTTTTAAGATTTTATTTATTTATTTGAGAGAGAGAATGAGATAGAGAGAGAGCATGAGAGGGGGGAGGGTCAGAGGGAGAAGCAGGCTCCCCGCTGAGCAGGGAGCCCGATGCGGGACTCGATCCAGGGACTCCAGGATCATGACCTGAGCCGAAGGCAGTCGCTTAACCAACTGAGCCACCCAGGCGCCCCCGCCCAAAAGAATTTAAAACAGATGTTCAAACAGAAACTTCTACACGAATGTTCATGGTGGCATAATTCACAATAGCCAAGAAGTGGAAACAACCTAATTGTCCATCAGCAAAGTGAATGGACAAATAAAATGTGGTATATTCATACAATAGAATATTACTCAGCCATAAAGATAAATGAATTCAGATATATAATGCAACACTAATGAAACTTAAAAACACACTAAGTGTAAGAAACTAGCCACAAAAAGTTACATGTTGTATGATTCCATTTATATGAAATAGCAGAGTAGGCAAATCCACAGAGACAGAAAGCAGCTTTGTGGTTGCCAGGAACTGGGAGGACAGAAGAATAAGGAATGACTGGTTAATGGTACATGGCTTTCACTTGAGGTGATGAAAAATATTTAGAGTTAGAGGGTCGCCTAGGTGGCTTGATCAGTTAAGCATCTGCTCTTGGTTTCAGCTCAGGTCAAGATCTCAGAGTCATGAGATTGAGCCCCATGTCAGGTTCCAAGCTCAATGCAGAGCCTGCTTAAGATTCTCTCTTTCCCTCTCTTTCTGCACCTCCCCACTCCGCTCATTCTCTCTCTCTCTCTCTTTCTCTCTCTCTCAGGAAAAAAAAAGGATTTAGAGCTAGAGAGAGGTGATTGTTGTTCAACACTGTGAATGAACTTAATGCCCACCGAGTTATGTACTTTAAAATGATTAAAATGATAAATTGTAGGTTATGTATATTTTTTGCCACAATAAAAAAATGCAAAATAAAGTACAGGCAAAAGAAGTAGGGAAGTAGAAGTGATAGAAGAAAGTTGAAGGGAAATAAGAGTGCTCCAAAACACCTACTACATAAAGTGGAGGATCAACAAGATATATTATGAACAAGAAATAAAAGTATTACTATATTGTGAAAATAGAAAAGGGAATGACTAAAAATAGTAATACACATAATGGGTAATATGCTATATTGAAAGGATTGTGGCAAAGTGGAAGGATGTAATTTAGCTAAACCCTAATTTATCACAGCAGAAAGAGATAAGCAATGTCCTAAACTGATATTAGAACAGAAATGGAAGTCCATCTTAGAGATAAAGAGGTGATTTCCAGAAGAAGCAGCTAAAAAACTTAGGAGTGGTTGCCTCTGGAATTTAGCATCTAAAACTATCATTATTGTTGAGATAAGGAACTGGAGGGGCCAGATCTTCAAAGAAGGATTCCAGTAAGAAAGGGTCAGAAAACCAAGTAGAAATACTTAAGCTAAAGGATTAATACCGAGAAGCTTCTTTTCTCAGATTTTGAGGTGTTTTTTTTTTTCTTTCCAGCACTTGGATAGATTTTCTATAAAAACAGGGCCATATTGTATTAGAAGTTCCCAAAGTCTTATGTTGGAGAGGGTGTAGCTGTGGTTGGCACACTTCTGAAGGCGCTGTGCAGTGCATAATCTGTGTGCCCCATGGTCCATATGGCCTTCTTCCTATCTTGTCTTATCTTCCTATCTTCCTATCTTGTCTTATCCAAGGTCATGTTCCCCATCCTCCTCAAACATGCCATACAATCTAGACATGGCCACACCTACAATGGAGACAACACCTAGACAGACCTGATCTAGCAAACAGAATAGACAGACCACTGATAGCTTCATTTACAAAAACACCTGGTAAGAATTATACATCCACAAGTTCTTGAGAAGGGGTAATCAAGAAAGGCCATTTGAGGCAAAAGTTATAATACAATAAGACTGTAGGGGTAAACCACTAAAAATTGTTCCCACTGTCTGTGAACTAAACTGAGAGAAGTACTCTTCCATCATGCCCAATACAAAAACACAACTCTTCACTCTGGTGATTCTAAAATCTTGCCCTTAGATGGAAAAAGAAAGTTGGAATGTAACTCCAAAGAAAAGAACGTCCAAGGAAAAAAACATGTCTCCCTAGATCCTAGAGTAGAGGCATCCCATACTGTCTGCTTCTAGATTCTCCTAAGTCATAGGACTCCTAGAATAGAGGGATTCCAAGCCCAGGCTTACAAAAAAGTATGGGCAGAAAGAATCAGAGAACATCCACAGAAGCAAAAGATTATCTCCCCTTCTTCTACTGAGACTATCACTCCCAGCATCCTTGTTCACATGCCTTTGGCCCATGACCCAGGTTGCTTCCCACTCTTCTTTAAGAATAACTCTGTGTGCCCAGTCAGAATGGCTAAAATTAACAAGTCAGGAAACGACAGATGTTGGCGGGGATGCGGAGAAAGGGGAACCCTCCTACACTGTTGGTGGGAATGCAAGC